GTGACTAGTCGACTTCGTCTCGACTTTCATCACATAAAAGTCGACTTCAAAAAATCAGAAGTAGTTCAACCCCTAGTAAACTCTGTGTTTGCACAGCTTTTTAAAAATGGTGAGTGCCAGTGTTTCTTATGACATGCTTTCAGCTAATCAATGTGCAATCAGCGTTGATTCTGGACTTGTTTTCATATTAATATCTATTCAATATTCAGCTTGGCCTAGCCCAGGGTTTTTAAAGACCAACAGGGTCCCTGCCAGCTTGCTTAAAAGGGTCACAGAGATTGAGTTTTTTTAGAATAAGGGAGAGGGAAAACAAACAAACAAACAAAAAACACCACCAACTGCCAGTTTTGAGGGGTAACGCATTACAAGAAACGCAAGTTACATAATCACTTTTTTTTTTATGGATGGGTGCTTTTTATTTCACTTCTTTTGAACGGATGCATGCAACACCCGCTGACTGGCATTAAACCGCTTGAAAGATCAAAGACAATTTTTTATAGAACTCTGACTGGATTCATCTAAAAGAAGAAAGTTATATACACCTAGGATGACTTCAGGGCGAGTAATTTATGGGCTAATTTTAATTTTTGGGTGAACTAACCCTTTAATACCAGCTGCAAACATGGCCTGTGTGGCGAGATGACTGATTGTGTGCTGTACCTGTGACACTACAGTGTCCAGCTGCTGTAACTGCACATTGAGTTGGCTCATCTTGTCACTGTAGGCGAGTTCAGTTTGCTCGTGTTTCTGTCTTAAAGTCCTTTCCAGCTCTTCAAGAGCAGCAGCCTTGTCCTGGTCACTCTCCTCCTGAAAGACACACATGCACGTCACGGGCAACACCGAAGAAACACATAGAGAAGCGATAATTCCTGTATCACTCCTCAGCTCTCACCTCCAAAACAGACATAAGCCAAATGGTTAGAATCTAACTTAAATCAGAATTTACATAGTGATCTCTATAAAGAATTAAAAGATCATTGACAAAAATCACAGAAAAAAAAAAAGTAACCAAAAAAAACAAAACAAAAAAGCCTCACAAACCTCAAATCCTCAATCAGTCAGTCATCACTCACGTGTCCCTACACTTCCTCCCATCTGTAGGATTAATACTGAGAGAGGACCTCTCTAATGCTCCAATGGGAAAGTGGCCAACTGACAAACCAACCAGGGTAAAATCTCAGAAAGCCCCTTTGCTGACAGATTTCAGCTAGAGGACTGCTCTACAAGTTCAAACGCAAACATCTGATAGCATCTAATCTAAAGAAAAGGTTTACTATGAATGATGGAAGCTACTGTATATTGTACAGCACAGGGTGGGGATTAGTGTTAATTTGAGTTTAGAGTGGACCGTCCCCCTGCTCCAGATGTTAACTCCCTCCCCCAATAAGCTTAGCTATTGTGCATAACCATGTCTACGAGAGTAGCATATGCACAAATGTTCATATACTGAACACAGCAATAACGAACAACATAGACAAGTTGAAAGAAAAAGATAAAAAGCAAGTTTTACCAGTCAAATTAAACATGAATGAATACTTATTCGATGAGATGGCGAGAGAAGCAGGCTATACGCAACAGTCTATAAAAGCAGCTAAACTCTTAAGTCTAATTTGGTACCAGTGTTTACAATCTGATGGTCTATTAAAAGTTACAGAAACTCAGTTATAGGAACAAACCACTAGGTTTATCCCCCAAGAAATAAATTTTCACCAAGGGCCATTTTCCTGGTTGCATTCACAGCAGGATTCAGAACTCTGAAGTGATGTAAGCTAGCCGACAGCTACATTTAAGCATGTCATCAACTGGAGGATGGAGTGACTGGACCTCTGCATCGGTCCACCAAGCAGTTTCCCATGTTTGTGGAGCAAGTATTTGTAAACTGTAGGGGTTGCACCGACTAATCGACTTCAATGCTCTGCCATGACGCTTTAAGCTCGACGTCGACTAGTCGCTGGTCCTATAGAGGGCGCAACAGGATAAGAAATCTTTGAAGGACTTCCACATTTATGCTCCGTTTCCAAACAGTTCAAATGACAAATAAATGCATACTCTGAAAGCGCTCCACAAGACATGTGTGATTATATTACTGGATGCTCGAAATTGAATGGGAGAATGCACGTTTTAAACAGCTTATTGTACAGGTAAGTTAATCGCCGTTCTAATCTAATGCGCTGCTGCACTGTAACACACACACATAGGCTACAGACAGTAGTGCGTACATCACGCGCACAGAATGTACCAGTGTTTACAATCTGATGGTCTATTAAAAGTTAATAACAAACAAACAAACAAACAAAAAACACCACCAACTGCCAGTTTTGAGGGGTAACGCATTACAAGAAACGCAAGTTACATAATCAGATTACTTTTTTAGGGAGTAACTAAATATTGTAATGCACTTTTAAAAGTAATTTTCCCCAAAACTGCCAACTGTAAGAAACACTGATAGAATACGGCTACTTTTAAACTAATACCTCCTTCTCTCACCTTTAACTGAGCAATTTTCTGCTGCAACAGCTCCTCAGACTTGCACTTGAGAAGCTCTGCCTCTTCCAGGAAGTGGAGGCGTTGCCTTGACGCGTCTTCCTCTAATTCCCTACGGAGAGCCTCCAGCTCCCTGGCAGACACTCCTCTTAACTCCTGAGGTAGAGAGGAGAGTTAATGAAAGAAGCTCTTATCTTCTTACAGTTTAAACAAGACTTTTCTATGCTAAATCCATGCTAAAGGCTGAACACATCTAAATGAAAATGACACACTCAGGCTCTTATTGTTCTTGTCCTCCTGAACACATACCTGTAGCTGTTGCTGATATTGATTAGCCAGCACATCCAGTTGTTGCTCATGTTGCTTTTCCATTGCAGTGGCAAGATCAGTGATCTCCAGAAGGGCGGCGCTATGCTGCTCCTCTAAAGCAACTACTTGTTGCTGAAGAGCTTCCAGAGCAGATCTATGCTCATCCTCCAGAGCAGCCCTCTGAGAGGAGACTGCTTCAGAGATCTCCGCCTGCATGCGCAAGGTAACACACTAGATGTTGCTCCTGCAATAAACTTTCCATGGCCAATGAACTAAACCTGCACTAAATAAATAAATAAATAAATTCCTCCATTACTGTGCTTACCTGATGGGCTTGATTCAATTCTGCTGCCATGGCACTGAATTTATCCATATGGACCATAGCAAGCTCACTTCTGAGGTCCTCTCTGATGGTTTGCTCCTCCTTTCTCACCCTTTCAATCTCTCCAATATAGTGTTCTACAAGGTCACGTAGTTCTCTTTCCTTCTCGTCCCGTACTGCCTGAATTTCTTTCAAGAACGTGCTCTCCAGTGTATCCATGTTCGCCAACAGCCTCTCCTCAAGCTCCTCCCTCTCCTGTTTGTGTCGTGCCTGAAGCTCCGCCTCTTGAGCTTCAAGCTGTGCCAGGTTGGTCTCCTGAAGGACCGCCTCCAATCTGTCAAGCTCTACCTTGTGTTTATTTGTAAGCTCCATCTCAAAGGTCTCCAAGGCCATTTTGTGATTGGTCCTCAGTGATTCCAGTTCCTCCCAGTGGTGTATTTTGAGTTCCTGACAGTCCTTTTCAAGACGCTCTAATTGTGCAGCTCTCTCATCCAGGAGCGTTTTCTGGGCCTGCAGCTCCACAGCATGCAGTTCTCTCTGTTGATCAAGGGCAGCATCTCTCTGAAGGGTCAACTTCTCTTCCAGTTGTTTCTGCTCTTCTTGGTGCCTACATGTATGACACAGATGATAATGAACAAATTGGATTTACTCCAATTCTCCATTTTGTTGTACATTGTTCTGACAAAATAATAAAAAATAAATATTTTTAGTGAACAAGAAAAAATTGGCACAACCATGCTACCTAAATATAAGATTTAGAGGGTTGTTCTAGTGCTGTAGGATTAATGATTATGAAAAAAAAAAAGAAATTGCATAATTATCAAATAGCAAAAGCTGCAAATGAATTAAACATATGCACTGTGTTTTTTTAAAGAGTGAAGCACAGCACTGTGTTCTTTTACATGCAAGCAGCTCATGATCAAGTGTTTTCAGTGATTCCAAGCAGCTGGGTTAACAGTAAATGATGCTCCACACAAACTTCACTTCATGTGCTGAGTTTAGGTCTCTTATTACAAGTTTGGGAAGATATTTGGTGCATATTGTGTCCCAAATGTGATGTTATGAGAAGTGCTTATACACTGGCTGTTTTCAACAAAAGAGAAACTTTTAGGGCTCCCTGAGGTTTTCTGCCAAAATAAAATCTTGATGGTTTAACATTTGAATGAAGAAATTAAAGACATCCATAAATAATAAGAGTACTGTAATTTTACAGTTGTACTATACATTATTATTATATTTTTCTGAAGTATTGAATCTTTTTCTTAGTGACTTATAACAATAGTAATATTTCTTATTTTGTTTAATATTTTTATTTAGTAAATAATAACAATAAATTATAGGCCAAAAATGTGCAGCCCTGTGGACAATAAAAATAAAACTCATTTGAAACTGCAAATCCAAATGTTTAAATCATTAAAAAAAAAAATAAAAATAAATAAAAAAATAAAGTATTTGCAATGATATTTTTCCCCAAATCGTGCACCCGTATGTTGTTTAAAAATAAAGTATAAACAATAGTAAGGACTACTGACTTTTAAGCACCTCTGGATTGCATTTGCCAATGATATTAACATGCATGTGGTTTCAGTGTAATGCAGTCTCCGACCTGCAGAGGGCCTCTTGTAGCTTGCTCTCTATCTGATCCTGAAGTAGAACATTCAGCTCTTTCACCTCTGCTGCCATGGCACTCTTAGCAGTGGACATCTCTCTGTCGTATTGAGCCTGGAGTTTCTGCTTCAACGCCACCACCTGAGGGCTCTCTTCACACTCCAAACTCCTTTGCAGGGCTTGAAGCTTCTCCTTTTCCACATCAAGGAGCTTTTGGACCTCTAGAAGCCTCTGCTCCAATGCCCCTTTCTCTTTAAGGGCAGATCTCTGAAGCTCCTCTCTCTGGGATGCCAAGCGCTCCTCAGCCAGAATTTGGAGTTGCTCCCTCAGCCGGGCATGCTCTTTAGTGAACTCCTCACTCACACGATTCCTCTCTGCCTTCTGCACTTCTTCAAGGCGCACCCTCATCTCTTCAGTAGCATCTTTCTGATGCTTTAAAAGGAAAAGAACACCGTGCTCAATAAATAAATAGATACCATTGATACTGATAATGTTACAGTATTGCTAAAGAGTCTCCACAATAATCAGCATGAATTTCATCTGTCTACAGCATGACCACTATTTCTACGCCTTATGACAGTGCTTGGTACCAGCCTTTGGCAACAATCTTCACCAAAGCCCTTTTGTATCAAGTATAAAGGCCTGCTGTTATGCACACACTTACGGTCTCCTCCATCTGTCTGAGCTGCTCTCGGTGTTGCGCCACCACTTTTTCCAGTTCCTCTGAGTGCATTAGGGAGAGCTGAGATAGCTGGGTCTCCAGCTGGGTCACCCTGGCCTGGTGCTCATGAGTCCTCTCCTTCACCTCAGCCACCACCTGCCTCGCTACTTCCTGTGCAGACTGTAGCCGTATCTTGTTTATTTCTGATGAAAAAGAGAAAAATATTTAAAACAATGTTTTTTTATATATAATAATTGTTTTATATATTTAAGTTTGAGGATGTTTTTGAAGTTACCGATGCTGCATTTATTCATAAAAAATACAGAAAACAAACAGTAATATTGTGAATGATTATAATTAACAATGTTTTTTTAATTGAAATGAAAATTTAAATTAAATAAAAATATTAAAATTGTGGAAACAGTGATACATTTTTCAGGATTCTTTGATGAACAAAGTTCAAAACAACTAGTTCTAACAATTTAAAAGTCTTGATCAAAAGCCCTGGAGTAGCTCTTCTTTATAAGTCAGAGCCATACTGGACCGCAGCTGTTCCAGTTCCTGCTGGTGTCTCTCCTCTAACTGGAGCCGCAGGGAATCCAGCTCCTCCTGCAAACACACCAACATAGTTACAGTACATGCAAAGAGCACATACACACATTAGCTTGTCCCCAACTTATTATACTAATAAATTGGTCAATGGTAGTCATTTGAAAATGCTGAAAGATTAGGATAACCGTTTTTTGGAATAATGCGAACTGCTGCAACACTGACAAGTAGTAAATTATGGGTAACTTTGATTTTATGAAGTGTATCTCAATAAAATTCAACACCACCAACTAAAACACAATGCACCTTGTTTTTCTCTAGTTGTCTTGTGATCTCTTCCATAGCATCACTCCTGTCATCGTCACTCTTCCCTTCTGAAAGAAAGCTACAAAACAACATTTTGTTACCTTGACTCTAGTTTTAACAAACATAAACTATCCATTTGTTCAATTCTCTGCACTCACTTGGGCTGAAAAGTAAATGTTGGGCCTTTATTTAGCTATATTAAAACTAAAAATGTTTTAATTAAATTTACTTACATTCTCTACATTTCAATGGAAAAAAAAAACATGCCCCTACTGTGAAATGGCTTGGTGGGCCAAATCAAAAGGCCAAGTTTGGCCCGCGGGCCCTGGTTTGGTCATTTCTGCTATAGGATGAATTACTGGAGCTGCATTATTCCTCACCTACATTGCAGGATACAGGTGCCAATGTTTACATCTGATATGAATAACAATCTGAGGTAATCAGACCAGGTGGACCAGGTATAAATGGGGCCTATGATTCTCAATTGTATAATAATGTAAATGCAAGCACAAACACAAAGCAAGATTTCAAAATACAGAATCACTAACGACACTAAAATATAGTCTTGGGCTGACTTTACCACAAGTCTACAACCCCAGAACCAGGAAATCTAAGCAAACCTTGCATCTCCAGTCTTGAGCACCGAGTCCTCCAGGGCTCCCTCTACAAGGCGCAGCTGCAGGAGTGCGATTTCTTCCCGATGACTCTCTTCTGTGACCCGGAATCTCTGCTCGAAATAGGTACGGAGGTTTTCCAGCTCGATCTCATTCTGCTCTTTGATTTCCTGCCGCTGCTGAGTGAACTCTTGTTTTAGTCGCTCAATGTCATCAACCCGCGCTGAGCGTGCCAGCAACTGCTCTTTCAGCTCTAAAGAGAAAGAAAGAATTACAGGTCTTTGTAATTCACATCAACACTAAACAATAGGAACTTTACTGAAAGAAAAATAAATAATAAATTCAGAAGAAATAAAACTGGTTTTATTATAAATAATAAATGAGTAAAACAATACAGCAGTCTAAGCCCACAGAGATATTCAAAAGCAGAAAATTTTAAAAAGGAAATGCCTCCGAGATCCTGTCTGTTGGTTCTCATGCTCTCCAGCTGGGACCAGAGGTTTGAGATCTCCTGTTCTGAATTGGTCTTCAGTTCCTCCTTTTCTGACTGTAGACGGTCAACCTTTCACAAAGATGTTGTCTCAGTACAAACAGAAATAAAACATCTGCACTGCAATATTGTTGCAACAAATATGAGATGTGCATGGTACCTCTTGTTTCAGCTCTTTTCCTCTCTGCTCCAGGGCTCGGGAATGTTCCCGTTTCTCCTGCAGTGCTGCCTTATGACATGCAACCAACTCCTCAACTGCACCTGAATGGGAAAGGAGGGGAATTCAGGGCAAATTCAGACCTGCTTATACACTACAGAGTTTTCAATTGAGCCAAGACAACATTGTTCGGGCGAACTTGAGCCAATTGTTATGGTGGTGTATTCATATATGCTTAAACCGAACTAAGGGAGAAAATGCACCAGGTTCTAAAACAAACACTCCAAACAATCCAGGTGTGAAAACACCCATAAACTGGGCCAGTAAACCATATCACTGTCAATATGGCTTAGCTCACACAGTTGTTTAAATGACACTCACATGCAGCAGCATCTCTGTCAGTCAAGGCCTGCTTGAGCTCTTTCTCCAGATTCTTGACATCTTGATCTCTGGAACTCTGCAGTTCTTCTAGCCTACCCTGTGTCTCAGACAGAGCTACTTCAGCCTCAGTGAAAGCTGCCTGGGTCTCACTCAGTTTATGATGCGCATCATTTAATTGACTCTGGAGTTCTGTCTTGACCTTCTCAGCCTCCAAGAGCAACTCAGCCTTTAGATCCTACAGAGAAAAGAAAACAAACTGCACAAGCCCGTTTCACACCTAATCCAGGCATGTGATCAGCTAGAGACAAAAAAGCAGGAAAATCCGACACTTATTTAAAAATATATATTTTATCACATTAAAAAATATGTCGAATGTAAAAAAGAGCAGCATTTAATAATCATTATAATCTAATCTAATATAATATAATATAATATAATAAAAGTATTAATAGAATTGTTATTATTAAAGTACCTGCCAAATGTTTGGAAACATTACAATTAATGATTTTGAAATAAAACTTTTCTGCTCATCAAGGCTGCATTTATTTGATCAAAATAAAGTAAAAACAGCAATATTGTGAATTATTACAAATAAAAAAAAAAGGTTTCCATTTTAATTTATTATAAAATGTAATTTATTCCTGTGATGGAAAGCAGAATTTTCTGCATCATTACTCCAGTTTTCAGCGTCACATGAGCTTTCAGAAATCATTACAATTTGATTTGATGCTCAAGAAACATTTCTGATTATCAATGTTGAAAACAGTTGTGCTGCTTCATATTTTGTGTGGAAATGGTGATACATTTTATTTTTCAGGATTCTTTGATAAATAGAAAGTTCAATGAACAGCATTTATCAAATATATTTATTACATTTGTTAAAGCATTTATTAATCAGAAATATTTTGAAACATTTTAAATGACTTCATAACTTTACCACTTTAATGTATGATGAATAAAATTACTAATTTCTCTCTCTCTCTTTTTTTTTTTTTTTTTAAATATTACCACAAATGTTTGAGTGGTCTCATTGTTTCCACAAAAATTAAGCAGCAAAAACGTTTTTTTAATACCGATAATAAATAGTAAATGTCTCTCGAGCAGCAAATCAGCATATTAGAATGATTTCTGAACGATCATGTGACACTGAAGCTTCTCTTTGTAAACAAGAACAGATTTATAAACCATTTTAATGTTGAATGTTGCATTCCCAAATGCAAATTAAAAGGACTCTGATGCAGCTAGCATTTACAGTGAATCGACACTGAAAACACAGTACTGTTACAGCAGACATGTACCGCGTCAGACTATAGCCTATATTTATGTAATTACACCACAACTGTTGCTAATTTTATGACTGTATTAAGCAATCTCAAATTCTCACCACCATTCATAAAAAATCTCCGGGCGAGTAACACCTTTCAGCGCTGATTCTACTCGCAATTGGTGCTATAAACCATTTGAACCCTTTTAACTGTCCTGCAGATGGCACCGCGAGCTTGATCAGCGCTTTCAGGACCATTCGGTCCATGATGCTTTAGAAAACAATCTTTTTGAAGTTTATCTAGATTATTGCTTAAGGCCATTTGTGCAATTTCAATCATCATGCTGTAACCCCGAAAAAAAAAAACAGAATCCTGGATTAATCCAGAAGAATCACATCCCTGCTAATCCCAGGCAAACACCAATATTTCAGTGGGTCAAGATGTTCGTCTACTGAAGAAAAAAGGAAAAAAAAGTTCTCGTTTACCTCTAGTTTACAGGCCTGCAACTGTTCCACTAAGCTCTTCTCTTCCAAAACGCCCTTCTCCCATTCCCGGTTCAGATTATCTATAGTGACAGAACATACCAATCAAAAAAATACACACATATACTTTTCAAGCAAGCACACATCTCACTGCATTGTCACAGTACTAAAATAATATTACAAAGAATAACATTTAAACTACAGGCCAAACCCTCACCAATCTCTTGTTGGTGCAGTCGCTGGTTTCTTTGATCCTGCTCTTGGCTCTGCCCCCGGATTCTCTCCAGCTCAAACTGTTGGCGCGTCTGCAGCATGGCGCTTTCCTGTGCCCATTTCTCTCGTAACATGGTCTGCAGCTCACTGAGGGCCACTTCCTTATCTTTCTGCATGTTGGTTTGAGAAAGCTCCAGCTGAGCAGTGTGCAAGTTGGTCAAGCTCAGACGCAAGGCTTCCAGCTCCAGGTTGTGCTGGCTCTGATTATAAAGAGTAAAACCAACCAACATGACTAAGTGGAATTGTGGTTAGAGGTTAACAGAAGGAAAGCAGTTCAAATATGGGTACGTTTAGAATGGCATGTTGCTCTACTGCTATTAGGAATGCAGTACACATACTTCAGAAACAGAGGTCATAGCCAGCTACTGAGATCCTGTGCTCATGCTGCTGTAGAGATGTAGGCAACTGGCCAAGAAAAAGGCATTTACATTTTCGTGAGGTTTACATGGCGGGTAATACCATTAATTGGCAGGGGTTGCATATCAATTGGAAACACATGCAGTTATTGTTTTTTTAATTAAATTAAAATTGATCTAATACTATAATTTTAAGTAGCAGAAAGTGTGAATACTTTATGTAAATAGTTCAGATACCACTGCAATACTGCATTCCATTTCTTAGACCATTAAAAATACACACTACCGTTCAAAAGTTTGGGGTCGGTAAGATTTTAAAAAATGTTTTTGAAAGTCACCAAGGTTGCATTTATTTGATCAAAAATACAATAAAAACTGTAAAATTGTGAAACATTGTCACAACACAATAAGATATCAGTTTTCCAAATTAATACATTTTAAAATGCTTGGCAGAGCTGAATTTTCAGCAGCCATTAGTCCGGTCTTCAGTGTCACATGATCCTTGATTAAAAAAGAAAAAAAAATTCAGGACTTTTAGTGAATAGAAAGTTCAAAAGAATGGGATATATTTGAAATGGAAATCTTTTGAAACATTATACATTTCTTTCCTTTCACTTTCGATCAAGTTAATGCATCCTTGCTGAATAAAAGTACTAATTTCTTCCTTTCAAAATCTTACTTTTGAACGCTATATGTATTGAGCAGCTTGTCACCATTGCATTCCAAAACATACCCCAGGACTCAAATGAAAATCCTGAGATCCAACAAGTACTTGTGTTTGGAGCAGCTCAGCCTGGTGTGCAGCCTCCAGGCCGTCTTGCAGCTCCCTGGAGAGCTCATCTTTAAGTATGCGGATTTCCTCACTATGTTGGGCTGCCAGCTGCGTCAGCTCCCTCTCATGCTCTCGTTCATAGACCTAAGACAGCAGAGTTGACAAAGACCAGTGTATTCATATAAAAGGGTGGAATACACCTTGCTATGGTAAATAAAGTTAAATAGGTTGTTTAACCTGTTTAATCAAGCTGATCTGTCTCTTCTGCTCATCTTCCAGATGAGTAGACTGTTCAGAATGTTCCCGCTCAAAACGTACATTCAAGTATTTAACCTGGAGGTAGGAAACATGAAATATTTAGTTTATTTTTATTTATTTAGTTTACTCAACTTGTCTTTTTCACTTGTTTTTCTTTTAAATGGACATTCTTCCCAGTCACTTTCATTAAATGGTTATCACCTCTTTCTGGTGTTTCTTTTCCAGAATTCTCTTCTCCTCCTCATGTTGCTTCTGTTTTTCTTCCAGATCCTGTTTGACTGTGATGAGCTCTTTCATTAAGGCACTCTCCTTTTCCATGTATTCCTCTTCTGCCTTCTCTTGTGCTTCCTTAACTTCCTTGAGCTCTGCATCCTTTGATTCAAGTTGGTGCTAGATAGAAAAGTGAGTGTTATTTTGAGGACCATAATTATGTGTCAAATACATAAAACATTACAAGTTTCCAGGTTTTCCACAAACAGGGCACGCAAATGTATGCATTTGTTCGTTCTTGTTACTATACTTGAACCAGCAGCACATATTGTGGTTTATACATTAAATATAAACTACATTTCAAAAGAGCAATTAAGATTCAAACCTCAAAGTTCTTCAGTTCTGATTCTAGAACCACCTCCATGCTCTTTGCTTGGTCCTCCAAAGCTTGGAGACATCTTTCAAGGGTAGCTTTCTCCTCTTCCATGTTGTTGAGGTTCTCTTTAAGGCACATTAGCTTAGATTCAAGGTCTGTCTTCTCTTTCTCCAAGTTCTGCAACCTTCCAACTTTCTCTTCCACTTCAGCTTTAAGCTGATGAAGCTCTTTATTGGCTTGGTCCACCTGCAAGGTCCTTTGACCAAGCAGCACTGAAGTAGCTTGGTTTTTTTCCCTTTGTTGCTCCAGCTGAAGTAGAAATTCATCTCTCTGAGCTTGCAAAGAGGAAAGCTCACTATTTATAGAGTCCAATGCTGGTTTCTGCTCATGGACATCCTTCACTAGCTGCTCCTGACATTTGAGCTGTAGCACCAATTGGGCATTTTCCTCCTTTAGTTCCTTTAACAACTCCTCTATAGATAAAAAGATTGAGGTCTTATTGGAGTCAGTGTTGTCAGGCATTAACCTTTCATTGTCTTGAAGCTGCAGCTGTTTCTGGGTCTGCAGGTGACTCAGTACGTTCTTGAAGTTGTCTTCTTCATGCATTTTCTGGCTGATAACTTCCTCATACTGAATTCTTTTCTCACGTTCCATCTCCAGCTCCCACTTAGCTTCTTCAAGCTCCTCTGAAGCTTTGCTCCAATGCTCCCGTGCCTCCTCAACCTCCTCAGCAGAGTGCTGAACCTCCTCTTGAAGAACCTCGAGCTGTCGTTCCTGCTCTTCTAACTGCTCTGACAGGTCTCGGCACTGCTGGATTAGAAGCTCTTTTGCCAAGTCCACAGTGCCTGCGCTATCATTCAGCTCTTCAACAACTGAGGTTGAGTTTTGCCACTGGGCATCAGTGAAGGACATTTCATCAGGTTGGGGCACTTCAATGCTATGAACTACAGACAGTCTTGGCTCTGACTTATCACCATCAGATGTGACATTGTTAGGGACATCTGAAGCGTGAAATATTACCTCACTGTCTAGCTCAAACCTGGACGTCTCAGAGTTTTCCATCAGGCTACATTCCTCCATACTCCCTTCAATTAATGAGCTTTCTTGAGGCCCTTCAGAGGCCAAGTAACGTTCCATCAGAACATCCTGGAAACCCCCTGCAGGGACGTCAAAACTATAGTCATCTCTGCCTGCACTCTCAGTGGCTGTCTCCTCATTGTAAAGCTCTTTGGAGACTTTTTTCCAGGTTACGTCTGCACCAAAGTTTTTGGAAACATTATGATGAGAATCGGTATGCTGACTTTGGGCCTGGTTCAGAAGCTCCTGGATGCGATGGATCTCATCAGAGTGCTCCTTCTGCAGGCGACTAAGAGCAGCCTCATGAGCTTCGGTTAGCTGGGCTACATTCAATTCCCTTTCCTCCTCCAGAGTCTGAAGCCTGAGATCATAATTGGAAATATCGGCTTCATATTTGGAACGCATATGGCGTCCCGTCTCCTCCTCTTCATGAAGACGATTTTGAAGCTCCTTCACAAGGTTATCTAATCTAGCCATTTCTTGGTTCAGTTTATCTTTCTCTGCTTTATATTTCTGGGCTTCCTGGGCTTGTGTTTCATTAACTGCAGCCAGATGAGCTTCCATCAGGGTCTTCTCACTCTCCAGACTCTGTACCCTCTTCTGAAATGCTTCTACTTGTTCTTGAGCTCGCTGGCTGTTCTTACGCTCTTCCTCTAGCTCAGCTCTAAAGCTTTGCATTAAAGCTTCAGAGTCTGAGTCAAGACTGTTGTCTGGGAACAGAGGGCTGACAGTGGATAAATCTAAACTACCATGTTGGTCAAGTCTTAGATCTTTTTGATCACCACTTCTCTGGGTAAAGGCATGTTGAAGCTGAGAGAGGGATTTTTCCATGACACACAATTTCTGTTGCAGGTCTGTGATCTCAGTTTCTTTTTGGGCCAAAAGGCACTGTTGCTCCTTGGTCATCTATAAAACAAATGTAACATACATGTTGATAAAACAAAAGTGCATATTTTGCTTCAATGACAAGCTTGACTATTAAAAAGACACGTGTCCTAACCGGTTGCGACTCCTCCAATTGTACATGCAGCCGATTCTGAACAGCCTGGGTCAGATCCACACTCCCTTGACTTTTGCTACGTAGATATTCTTTAGCCTGCAAGTAGTTTTACATTTCATTCATTTAGACTCCTCCTGTTGTGTTCCATTATGAACAACAAGAACAAAAATAACCAATTTGCTACACAATGGGGACTAAGAACTAACAGGTTTTGTTCATTTGGCCATTAGGGAGGCCAAGTCATTTTGGACTCTCCATATTCAGAGGATCAAGGATGTTAGCAGAAGTCAACAATAGTCATCATTTTTCATGTCTAACAGAGACCAGCATTTTTCCATTTTATTCTTTACAACCTAAACATTATTCATTCTTAAGATCACAAATCTGACGATCGCTTTAAGTTATAAAGCACTCCATTAAAATTAAATAGGGTCTGTTTGAATGAATCAGTGCTGAGGACTTGAGGCAAGATTGGGACTTTTCTTTTTTTAATAAATGTATGAACTTTACCTGCTGTAGCTGCTGTTGTAGTGCCTGAATCTGACCAGTGAGCTGCTGTGCCTCCAGCTGTACCTGGTCTCTGCTCTGCAGCGCCACCTGCAGGTTCTCACTAAGCTGTGATATGATCTCATTCCGTTTTTCTACTGCAGCCTGTAATCGCTGTGTGAATAATTAAGTAATTTCAACATTATTCTTTTAAGTATCTGTAAATAACATTCACAACTACAATATTTTTAAACTGGACTCTAGCCAACGAGCTACATTATACAGAATAAATGCAAAAACTTTTTGGCACCTAAAAATCTAGGCTTCTTGGAGCACGAAAACATAATTCTTAAATCCATGAGTGGAATGAACACATGGAATGAGGATACGTTTAACCTCATCCATGGAATCTAATTGGTTTTACCCTTCCCTCTGCACCATCAAAAGAGGCTTTAAAAATGAATTCTCTAAAATTCAAGCAAACCAATTATGGTAAACACTATGCTCCAGAAAGCAGAACTCTGCCTCAGGTTTCTAGATGTGTGCGTAAACATGACCACGAATTAATCCATTCAAACGGACAGATGTAATCCAGTTTGGAGAGAATCTTTCTCTGTTCTATTTCAGGATAATGGCAGTTTCATGAAAAAAAAAAAAAAGCATATTGCTGCACACACAGACACACTTCAAATTTCAAGTGAACCATTCAATACAAAATTATTTGAGAAAAGAGTGTTAAGCCACGGTCACACTAGACTTTGAGCATGCAAAATTTTTTGCATGCTGCAACGGTCGTTATATGACGTCAAAAAGATGTGCAGCATCTTTTTAAAAACTTAAATTCAACATGTAACAAATTATAATACATCTAAAATGTAAAACTCTACTCCACTTTCCTGCAGTGCTGCAGTTTTAAATTTATGTTCTTTTAATTCAGACACGAGGTCATGCTGTGACGTATCGATCTGCCGTTGGTCACACGGTGCCACGTGATGCGAATTCGCAGGCCAGAGTTCACCAAGTTTGAACTTTGGAACGCAGCGAAATGCGAAAACTTTTCGCATGGGCTTGCATTTCCGGTCTGACACATTCGCATGCGTATGAATGGAAGTCAATGGAGCGAAAAGTGCAGTGTGACCGCGGCTTTAGACATGGTTACCACACAGCTGGGATTAGCTTGACAGAAATAAAAATAAATAAATAAAATAAATAAAGTGCATTTACTACAAATAAATAAATAAAATTATTGGCAAACAAAATACATATTGCCAAATCAATTTTATTTTCTTTGGCTTTGCCTGTTCAGCTTCTGATCTCATGGATGGGCAGAAATGTGCTAAACGTGCATAAAAGCAATGGAAAACGCTAGTTACGTATGCAACTGTGGTTCTGTGAATTCCGGATGACCACCAGAGGCGGTGCTAAGCACTAGTGGATAATCGCAACATCAGCTAGATAGGTCAAGAAAAATGTGTCCACAAGGATATAAACCGCAGTAGCTCAGCCTCGGAACACTTCTCGTGCATTCCGAGTGACAAAGTTACATTTGTTTAACGTTTACATCATGTTGACAACTTCATGTGTGGTGCACTTGGAATATAATTTTGTTTAACTAGAGGGGTAATGAAGTAAAAGTTACTTGAATCATTTTCATGACCCATTGGCCAAACCCAAAGCTGAAGACGAGCTGGGTCTCGTCCCATTCTGACCCAATGGACTGGATGTTTCTATCCTCACAAACCAGCGGCAATGAGTGGTCAACTCAACAGGACAACCAATGCCTTGCCAAACTGCTGCCAATTCAGCTGTACTACCTCCGGGTGAAGCCTCCATTCCCCAGGGGACAGCAGATCCCTGGATAACGCATTCGCTACTTGATTGTCTGATCCTGTGAGATTAACTGCCTTTAATGAGACTAGCCAATACGGAGACCATTTGAGATATTTTGCGAGTTAGCTGAAAGGATGCAAGAGACCTGGTCCCGCCCTGGTGATTCAAGTGAAACACTGTCGATGTGTTGTCGGACCTGATCAGCACATGGCGACCTATTAAATGTGGCAAAAAGTGTTGTAGTGCTAGGTACACTTCTTTCAATTCCAGGACACTGATGTGCTCCAAGGTTTCCTTTGGTGACGAACGACCGCTGATCCCCCTCTGGATCCACGGTCTCTTCCATCCAGTTGATGAAGCTTTTGTTGTGATCACTTCCCAACAAGAACACACAACTCCTAGTGGCACTCCGGTCCTAAGAAATGTTAACATTTCCAGGGTTTCAAAGTCCGGGCACAAGCTGAAGAAACCACATCCATATGATGACGATGTCTCACAGAGTCAAGTCTGTTGCTCCACCTTTGGAAGCAAATCCAGTGGGATCACGGATGTAGCAGCAAATAGTTGTTGAAGGACGCCATAAGGAATTTTTGACTCCAGTCGAAAACGGGTTAGTAAGTAACAAATAGAGTCTGTTCGAGCATGTGACAGTGTGGAAGACATTGTGAGAGAGTTTAGTGTCATGCCAATTAACATTATGGACTGTACTGGAACCAAATGACTCTTCGTGTCATTCACAGTAAGACCCAGTGTCTGAATACATCCCAGCAAAATCCTGGTGTTGTGTAGAGCATGTTGCCTTGTTGGGTCACAAAGCAACCAATCACCTAAATAGGGAAGGATCCTCATGCCTTTGGTCCAGAGAGGAGAGAGGGCTGCACTCATGCATCTTGTAAATACACGAGGGGCCAGAGAGAGACCGAATGGCAGAACTCTGAACTAGTATGCTTGGTCCTGAAAGCTGAATCTTAGGAACTTCCTGTGGTGGGGAGCAATGGGGACATGAAAGTATGAGTTCACACTCACAAACCAGTCTCCTTCCATTACAGACCGAAGAATGTTGACTGTGTGTAACATACGAAAAGGAAGAGACTTTAGGAACACATTTAAGCAATGCAGATCCAGAATTGGCCAAAAACCTCCATCCTTCTTCGGAATGAGAAAGGATGTGGAGTAAAACCCATCCCTCTGACTGAGGGGAGGAAGATTTTCCAAGATTTTCTATGGCTTCTTCCTGCAACAGCGAACACATTTCTAGTGACAGGGCAATAGAACTGGACGGATCCTTGACAACTGTTAGAAGGATTCCTGTAAACTTTGGACGCTGGTGTCGGAACTGTAAAGTGTATCGCCTGCTCACAGTTGCCAGAACCCAGGGGTCGCACACTGACATTCTCCAGTAATCTAGATGTTGTACTGAGAAACGACCGACTGCTGGCCTGAGAATTTCATGGTTTCAGCTTTAGTAACTGTGGGGGGCTGTGGTCCCCCCTGATGGTGAAAACTGCGACGTCCCAGGGCCTCTTCAGCCACTCTTTGTCATGGTGGTATCTGAGGTTTAGAAGTATTGTGGTGGCGCAGTCGCTACTCTGCAATTAAGTAGCATGGATGAGCGGGAACCGGTGGCATCCTAAAAGAGGGTGCCCGTGGGGTCCAAGTCAGCTTTGTGTGGCTTCGGATAACTTCATTCTCTTCTCTAAAACCTCAGAGACACTGGGGCCAAAAAGATGTCCCAGCACAATTGGCAGTTCCCTCAGTGTCTTCTTCAGCTAATCTTGCCTGAGCAAGCCATACCTGGCGCCGAGCTGTTAGAAGTGTTGCGGAGAGTGTTCCCAGCTCACGAGTCACATGCCCCATAGCCAATAGAGCAGTCTGAAGGAACTGAAGTACTTTAGTGTCTGCATTTGATGACTCTAAGGTGGTGTTGCTGGCAAGCAGCAGCTGGCAGATAGCATTTTCTGCTCGAGTTATATAGGCTACTGACTCGTACGCCTTCTTCAACAATGCATCAGTACGTCCACATTGTGCACTTTGGCAGCATACACTGCCTCTTGGTGCTTCATCAGGTGATACAACCAATGCTGCTACTGGCTGTTTGATCTCAGGTGCCCGCCCCACTCCAATGGAATCAGCCTCTGCCACTGAAGCTAGAGTACAGGCTGTCTTTGACCTTTTTGATCTTTTTGATCTTTCCGAAGTCGTCATCTTTGCTGTCGGAGCGCCAGCAGCCGCTGATGCGCTTCGTTTTTGAACACGCCGCAGGGCTGAGTCATATTGTGCCAGGTTAGCAGTCGAATTAGGATCCAGTTCGGTGAGGCGAAGCGGTCTCTCGGACATTGGAAGTATACTACAATGCGAACATGGATCAGTCAGAGCCTCTTTTAGATGCTGAACCCCTAAGCACGAAGGGCAGCGATCGTTTCCATCATCGGGAAGAAGTGTGCTTGGACAATTTGCAACTCTGTGGAAAGTCGGGAGACAAGCGAACCGTGAGCCATGAATCCATCCGCACCGTAGGTACTCACACTGTAATAATACCAGCCCGGGAGGTTGAAGGAAAAAATCCTTGGATAGAACCAGAAGATTGTAATCTTGAAAACACTCAGAATCTGATATTTATCCGTCCAGGGGCCCGTTCTTCGTACGTTGCTTATTACATCCGAGATGAAATGTCCCATCCAAGATGATATCATCGCGCTAATCAGGATCTGGCTAATTCGGTTCTTCGAATGCACCTGTTGTTGATGATTAGTATGGCTGGATTGAGTTATCGGAGATAATTGCACGTTCATGGGTTGGTTTAAAAGGGGCTATGTATCGATACTCGAAACCACTATCAGCAATGCAGCGATTGGCTGGCGGCAAGACAGCAACGTAATGACATCATATAATTAAAAAAGACACCCGACGAAAAACTTTTATAAGGAAACAGCCAAGTGAACAAAACTACATAAATGGTATAATAGATAAATGAAACGTGCACTGTTTTTATTTTCTTACATTTTTTTTTACATGATTCCCAATTATTTATATTCACGATTTCTAATATTTGTGCAGGCTTTACATTTTTATTTCAATGTAGTAATTAGCAATTAATTAAATTTTATATTTGAACAGATTTGTTACGTGACAGCATTAATTCAAGTTTCTTAAGGGTCAAGATCATGTTATCTGCATCTCCTGCGCTCCATCAAGCCACTCCCATAATAGCTGTCATCACTCAAATTAATGCACGACTACATTATCTGTATAGCATGTGTGTAAGACTCGAATACAATTATGAAGTAATAATTTTATGACGAATAAATCTTTCAGTGAGTAAAACTGGCTGTGTCTGTAGTATTAAAGACTACACAACATTATTATATTATCTTTAAATTAATTTTTAAATGATTATTATTTTTAAATGATTGTCCCTGGATTAGTAGGATACTCCTGTAATAAAGTAGCGGTGGCTGGGATAGATTTTAAGTATCAGTTCTGCTTAAAAAGATGCAATCTAATCCAGTTTACATGAAATAAGCCTGCTCCCGAGCAGGTTTAAGCGTACGGACCTGTTGCTATGACAGCAACTCCGGGATGAGCTTTAAAGAACCAAACAATCCAAGATCATGCCAAATCGTCAACAATCAAATCCAGCTAACCGAGTTAGCGACGTACGAAGAACAGGCCCCTGATGGCAGTGCAGAGCGGTTTGCGTCATGACATTGATGTGACACCTTGTTGACATTTTTCTCGACCGATCTACCTAACGTTGCGATTATCCACTAGTGCTTAGCACTGCCTCTGGCAGTCAGGAGAAATGAAACAGAACTGCAATGGACCCTTTTCACAAGACTGTGATGACGCGTCTCATCAGTCATCAGCATCATGAATCCTCCAAAGTTTTTTGCATTTTAATTTTTTTTTATTTTATAACACTATACTTTGCATTACATTTCCTTTGCATCAAATTACAGAAAACTATTTAACGCTAATGCGATATTTCTAACACCGTGTCTATGGGAGTGAAGGTAAATTTGACATCGCTCTCTCTACTGACTGCCGTTATCAGTCTCTCTCTATTTTTTTTCCATTTTTTGAAAGTCATGAAAACACTTTCATGGATTTTTTCTTTTGCTATTTGAGCAAATGGGAATGCAAAAATTATATTTGTGGTAGGCTCCAATTCACTGCTATAGACGTTTACCCAACTATGATGACTTCTGCTGCTGAGAAACCCAGAAATGTAAAAAGGTCCATTGTAAGATCTGTCTTGTGTGTTCCTTAAAGGGTAAAGGTTTACCTTTAGTTGTTCTTTGTCAGTATGTGCAACTATAATCATTCCTGCAAGTTTATCCTCTGCTTGATCGGGCAGCTCTGACTCTGAACAGAGGTCCTCTTCTGGGTCTCTGGCAGAGGCATCAGTTTCATCCTCCTCTCTGCTGCACTGAAGGACCTCTGGAACACTGCTCTCTGTGCCATCAGGTCTGAGTGATGCCTAAACGTTCAGACAAACATGCATATTTTCTACAGTTACCATGACTACATTGCCCCTAGCCATGTTATGCTAACTGACCTATTTTCAGATGGGGTGGGAACACAGATATGCATGCTATAGATTTGAAATTTGCTGTAGTGGTGTGCACATGCTATTTGCATGTGACTTCGTAGGCTTAATGTCTAAATGGCATGTAAAGCAGCAGCCAAGCCCTCAAAGTCAATGAAGTGAAAGCATAAACTGACCCATTTCTAACAGAAGTCATATCATACATATATTCTAGTAAAATGTGTGCCATATTTCAGTTTATAATGACCATTTTCTACATCTCTAAAACCCTTATAAATGAACAGTTTTTTAAAGATCAGGAACCTTGATAAAAACTAAACTCAGCTAGAAGAATACGCACTTTAGAAAATTTAGTTTTTCTGGCATTTAAGAAAAATAGCATCTATTCTGCTTTCTCCTTATTGCATCTCTGTGACTGTTGCATCTGACTGGTGCCACAAAGCTACAGAAGTTTTTTGCTCATTTTTGCAGCTTAGTTTTAATAAACTTCACTAGGTAGCAGCAAGTTTTTAGTTCTGAAGTATTTTTTTTTTTTCATAAATCAAACTTCTTTATCTCAAATTAAAATTGGACTCTTCATGATATGACTTTAAAATAGAAGTCAAGTATGCAGAATTCAGAAACCCTTACTAGTGGTGGCCATTAAGTGAACTGCAACCAGCAACTCATTTGCTCATGCTCGGACTTGTGCACACATAACTTACAAGAGACTAAATGTGATTCAGTGGCCTGAAATATTCACCGTGAAGTTCTCTTTCAAAGTAAAAAGTAGTTGGAAATTACTTCATCAATGTATTGTTAATGAAAAATGACAGCGGTGAGAAAACTGTGGTTAAGAAAGCATCTGATCATATCGATGTCGATATGTTTACACAAGCTTTGCAATTCACCAGCATCATGTCGACAGATGAGGTAATTGAAATTACACCGTTGTGATAGTTTTATCATAAAGTATACTTAAGACTACAGACTATTTAGATGTGGCTATGTGAGACTATAGTCTGAATCCCTTTTCTTTGCATGGCACATTGACATTACAGTGTGGAAAACCTTTTTTGGTATTAATCTGAACATTGTATAAATATTCGATTAATGTGTCAGAACGGAAGAGAGGCTCTCAGACATGCATGTACATGTCACAACGTTTTGATTTTTCCCGGCAAAAACATCACGAGTCCTTCATTTAAAAATCAATCTACAGGCTTTCAAAGACAACCTAGGAAGTCGGAGAAGGTCTTGTTTAAGTTTTGTTACAATTGTTCACACATTGGCAAAAAAAAAAAAAAAAGAGATTAAGACATGAAAATTCTTACATATAGACTTTTTAAAATTAAAAGCAAACCTCTGAGTATTCCTTGTTGATCTCTCCATGACAATCGTCTGTCTCTGGTTCCTCTAGGTGGCAATCTTGCGCTGACCAGTCATTCGTCTGGACAGTTTGGCCCTTCCTCTTCGGCGTCTTTTTCTGCGAGCTCGAACTTTCGCTTTTTGCCCGGCGCTGTCTAAAGTGAGCAAGCTGCGCCAGAGGTTGAGAGACAGGTAGAGGGAAACGTACATCAGGATGAGATAGCAAGAACATAGAATCAGCATTGTGCTCGGCTTTAAACACGAGCCATGTCAAAAGTCAAATGGATGCATGATTGACATCTCACAATTAATCCAAATAAAATAAGCCAAATTCATCTTCATCTTTAGTCCATAATGTGAAAGACAACAGCAAGAAAAACAGGTTTAAAAAGCGGACATCCAAAACAATGGGTTCTTCATCTACTAAAAAAATCATCATCCTCTTCTTTTTTGGACAATCCCTGATCGTCAAGCATGGAAACATGGTGACGCTTGAAACACGCACAATTCTGCAGGAGATGTTTCTCACAGCTGGTTTAAGAAGCTTATTCCAGATTAAAAGCAAGCTCAAATGAGCCCTGCTGGACCAAATATGACAATAGTGCTTCCATGAACAAACATCAGCAAAACCCCTAAGGCTGTTAAATTAGTCACATGACAGCAATCCATCAACCAAACAGAACGTCATATGATTCCTGGGCAGGTCTACAACTATGAAAACATTAAGACCACCAAGTGGAGAGATGTGATCTGCAGAAAACCAAATTGAAAAGAAAAAATAAAGAGGAGGAGCGAATGCACATAAACCATGCACATAAACATGTATACTGTGACCAAACTTGAAGCTGCCCTCTGGACTAACCCTCTAATCTAGATCCGACTATGAATACACCTGAAAAAACGCAAGAGCAGGCTATTCCACTGGATTACATTTGACCTGCTTTCATAAACATGTATGGAATCAGTTTGTGTTCCACCCACTGACTGTCAAATCACATAAGATGTTATGAAGAGAGCCTGGGGGACCATGAGCCACAAATGGCATCTAGAACAGCAGCTTACATGCAATATTCGGGCCACTCTATGCAGCATCCACTGGTAACTAAAATGGTGTGCATATCAGAATTAAATATAAATAAGATCTAATATAAATATAATATTGCTTTTTTTGTCAACTTTAAAAGAAATTGGCAACTGAAGTTAGCAAAGCTGTGTTATGGGCAGATAGTTGATTGCTGACCAGTTAACAAAAGCCATGGCAACCAGCTAGTCACTCTAGAACTGGTTCATCTTTGAGCTAAATTAATCCACCAACTCACAACAATCCAGAAACATCCCATAAACTAATGTTAAATGCTTGAATATTAATGCATTTCATGTGGCTGAAGTTACAAGATGAAATTCAGAGTTTGACAGTATGGATCCAGTGCAAGCGCAAGATGTAGATAGATGAGGATTTGTTGAAATTGCAAGAGACAGTTTGGTTCAAATCAGAGTTGAATATTATAGACAAACAAGTAGTTTCATTCCATTTTAATAAACTTTTAAATAAAAAAATGTAAGTGTGACAATTAAACAAAAACAAAAAAGCTGCCACAAAATAAGATTAGAATTTTGTCAATACTCAAACACATGCTACAAATTAGTAATGACTGCTTTCCATGGAACACAAAAGATGACTTAGAACTTTTTCCAACTTTAAATTATTATTTTTTTTTTTACTTTTGTGTGCCCTGCATAAAATAAATACAACATGGGTATAAAACAACATTGGGGTGAGCAAATGACTACACAATTCATTTAAAGGGGTCATATGATGCGATTTCAAGTTTTCCTTTCTGAGAGTGAGAGAGAGCGAGAGAGAGAGTCACATCACAAACACATACCAGCTTCATCACTGTGTCTGTCACGCGACTCTGTTCCCCTTTCGGGCTCTGTCTTTACATTTATTTTGAAAGATGAAGCTCGCGATTATGGTAAGGGGGGTTACATTTCCTACGAGTGCTTGCGGTGTTCGGCCAATCACAATGCACTGGGTCAGCTGGCCAATCAGAGCAGACTGCACTTGTCGGAAGGAGGGACTTTGTAGAAAACGAAGCGTTTGAGAGAGGCGGGGCATAGAGGACCTACAATAATGTACAGTATTTGAAAAATAATGTGTTTTTTGAACATTAAAGCATGTCAACATATTCTGTTACACCAAATACACAAAATAATGATCTTTAAAAAAGCATCATATGACCCCTTTAATGAGAACTGAAATGCATCCTTGCAATGTTGAGACTTTAATCGTGTGGTGCCTCCTACAGGTCTCTTTATAAATAACAGTCAGTATTCTTCTGTGGACTGAATATTATCATCCAACAATATGAGAAAGTATTTAGTTAATGAATGTAGCCAATATCGTGTTGTTTACATCATTTGAAGCGTTTGTCCTTCAAAACGAGGCAAAGAAACGCCTAACAAAACGAGAAGATGCCACTTCATTTTTGCTGTCCTCTCATTGCGGATAAAGTGCAGTTCCCGTCAAAGCTCTCTTACGCTAAATATATACTGTAGATACCTGTGAGCTGCACTGATCCTGCCTAGAGACAGAGCTGTATCAGATTCCTCTCAGCAAATCGAACTTTATTTGCAACATAAGACAGCCTAACATAAGCATAAAAAAAAAGCTTTTGCTGCAACGCCAACAAACATTTACCCCAAATTTAAACGCAAACTAAACAAATACCCAAAGCTACATATTACCAAAAACAACAAAAAAAGCGCAAAACTTCCAGCTGAGGAAGGCTGCTCTGATTTCGTGAACCAGTGCAAATAAACGACATACACTCAGAAGAAATTTGGAGTTCAAGCTTCATTTTGTCCATTATGAATATGACATGATATTAATCAAAAACTCATCACAGTGAATTATGAGAAAGTTGGGCACAGATACACTGATAAATTGAGTCGGGCTGAGTAGTTGCTCATACGAACAAGTTTTATAATAAGACATTGTGCAGCAAGAACAATGGGAGTGACTGTGACATCTGTGGCTGTCCGAAATACAAGCGGATCTCAAATAAAAGCAAGAAAAAACATATAAATAAATGTGGTAGTTGATATAATTACAGACAAAACGAACAACAAAAGAATATTCAAATTCACAACTAGCCTATGTAGTTACTCTGCTAATGTTAGCGCTTACCTTTGCTCGTCCGGCTTCTAATTTTCTCTGCCTTTCATCCTGATCCATTTCCTGGATCAAGGAATTTCATGGGAATGAAGGAAACACTCAAGGGGACGCCAATCAGACTGAAACTGCGTTTCTCTAAAACTCCTTAAACGAATTTTTTGTAATGTTTTGTGAGTTCAGAGATTTTCCTAAGGAGTAACTGTCAGTGTAATTTTCAACATGGCCGCGAAGTGTGCTTGCTTATCCCCGCCTTTATCAGATTGACAGTCAGCGAGAACCTATTAGAACAAAGGATGTGAACTTGTCAGCCAATGACATTTCTTGTTGCAGAAATACACCTGCTATTTTTAAAACGCCCTCCTTTAAATGCATTGGGCCTGAATGACCAATTAGAAAGCGAGTGCAAGCATGACCCTTTGATTGACAACGTCTAGAGCCTATTGCTGTGCAGGATAGTGAGAAATGACATCCTCCGTGGGCTGTGTATTTGTTGTGGTAGTCGTGTTTCCGATAGTGGATGTGATTGACAAATGAGAGACGCGGGTAAAAGTCCGGGTGAATAAGATTAAGCAGTAACGACAGCTGAATCGACGTAACAAAAGTTGTTTTCTTCACTAATAATATAAGGCACAGTCTCATAAATTGTATCGCCAGTTTAATATAACACACTTTGAGAATATAATATTATAAGTACTGAATAATAAACAAAGATGATAAATATAATCATTACCTTTTATTTGGAGTATAAAGGTATAAAAATATATAACAGTATTTAGAAATTTCAATTCTACATAACAAGTAATTATTATTTTATTATTATTCCATATTTATAAATGCTCAAATTACACATAATTGATTTTGTAAATAATAATAATAAAGTTTCCATACCCTTTCTATTATTACATTTTGAGGTTTTCCTAAAATACAAATTCAATATATTTCGTTGGAAGCTGCAATATGTTCTTCCATTTATTTATTTTATTTTAGAGTACTTTACTATGGGTCCACCATAAACAAAAGAGCCTCGGTCTGTATTTCTAATGTAACTTAGCAACTTGAGTGTTGGGCAAAGAACTCTGCAACACAGATATATTCTGACAACAGACACCCTTCTACAGCAAACATGGACAATAATTAATTAAACGTATCTACGAAGTGTTTTTAAAATGGCAGACCCAGTGGTTGACCAAATGACAAGGCTGAGACTGAAGATGTTGGAAAAGGTAAGTTGGCTTAATGTGATAAATATTTATCGGTTATACATAACTGACATGATATTCTTTCTTCCTTGTTGACAACATTCTATCATGAGACCAAACTTGTCAATTAAAATACTTAGAGACTGGAGAATGAGAGAAATGACAACATTGAACGAGAAGGGTCAGCGTTTTTCACAAGTACACAGACAGTAGTGATTTTTTTGTATGATCAGGGAAGGCCACACACATGGGCTGGATCTCAATATCATTATCAACCTCTTCTCGGGCCACTCGAGCCTGTTCCTCCTATCCATATCCACCAAAGTGCACCACCTGCACCTGCACCTCCACCTGCTCCTCTCCCTCATCCTGCCCCTCAGCCCCCTCAAATCATTCAACACACTGTATGAAAAGTTCACACCTTTAGTTATACTGGTTTGATCATACACAGAATATCTACATTTACTATTCCAGTTCAATTAATGGCTTTACAGCTGTTCTAAAATATACAAGTACATAGACAATTTGTGTGTGCATTGTGTGTTACAATGATATGTTGCTGGCCCTCTTCTGATAACTTATATTTCTCCTTCCACAAGGTTCCTCAACAACCAGCCACCATTATCCAGCAGTTACCACATCAACAGCCTCTCATAGCACAAATTCCACCCCCACAAACCTTTCCCTACAGATCAGGAAGTATTAAAGAAGGTATATAGTATATATCAAATACAGAAATAAAAAAAACTGTTATTGTACTGTATACTAAGCCAAAAAAAAAAAAGCAATTAGTAATAGTGATATTATGACATTTAAACTTGCCTAAACGTACTTTCCAACAAAAGAGTAATTACAAGATTTTTTTTTTTTATTTTTTTTTTTTAATACACTACTGTTCAAAGTTTTGGGGTCAGAAAGATTTCGTTTTTTTCATTTACCAAGGACAAATTATTTAGCAAATGATTTTAATAAAAAAATATTTTATATATTTTTTATTGATAATAAATTATTATTTTTATTTATGATTCAAATATATTCCTATTTTACATAATTTTTATATAAAATTATATTTTACAATATTACTGTTTTGACTGCATTTTTTTTTTAAATAATATAAATTTTTTTATAAATGTAGCCTAAGTGAACATAAAAATCTTTTTTTTTTTTAAACAGAAAATTTTACTGACCCCAAACTTTTGAACAGTAGTGTAGCTAGTGATTCAAGTCGCATGCCTGAAATATAGCCAATAAGAATAAAGTACTACATGGAGTTTTAACGACACTTCAAGATTTAAGCTTGGACAAAAGTTCTCTACTTTATTATTCTGATGACAGACATGGTGGAGTTGATGCTCATGCAGAATGCACAGATGCACCAGATCATCATGCACAATATGATGCTGAAGGCTCTTCCGCCAATGGCTGTGTACCCAGGAGGAAGCATCAGTCAAATCACACCTCTATAGCCTCACATTCAGGGCAGGTAACCATCAAGAGATGTTGTGTTCAGCTTAAACCAAGTTGATATCTGTACATTTTACAATATGTAGTAATGCGTTAGAATGCTCATTTGATGTTGTTTAGGACCTTCATTCAACAGTGAGAGGAGGGGCTGTCCATCATCAGCATCACTACAGCTCCCATGTACCACCTCTTCCTCCAACTGGCTACTCTTTTTGGCCCTCTTTGATGCCAGCAGGACAATTCGGGACTCATCAGCCAACAGTGCAGCATGTGATTGGTCCTGTAAATCTCCCCCCCTTAAACACATGAGTCATCAATGTAACAATACCAATAAATAATTATAAAATAAAATAAAAAAATACCTTTAAAATCATTGTTTTATTTTAATTATGCATTTAAAAATGGATCAGAAATCCTTTCCAGTTGATTAGGTAAGTCCTCAACTGAACTTTATCATTTATGAAACCTAGTGATGTTTACATGTGTTGTTCATACATACATGAGATTTTACAGTGAGGTCTTACACATTCTGTACAGTACTAATGTTTTTGTCATAAAAATAAAAAAATCACTACATAATTCTCTTAATCCATCATTAGTTATGAGTATCTTGTGCTACGTTTCAATGTTTAAAACATTCACTGGTCAGTCATTGTGAATCATATAATCATAATATTCTCATGTTAACTTGTTTTGCCTTGAAGAATGGGAATTGATGCTGTGAACTCCAGGACTCCACTTGGACTCTGAGGTAAACATAGGGTAATTTTATTATCTTGTTCACTAATATTATATATTTTTCTAAGATATTAGACGTCAGTGCACCTAATAGGCCTACCTTTTTTTCCTTTTACCTTTTTCTAGACAAATTGCCAAGGGCAGACGGATCCCTCTTTATCTTCAAAGACAGATGATACATCGACATGGAGGTCTGACATCAATTTACAATTTTCAATAGTTACATAATTTTGTTATTCATAGGGATTTGTTGTGATTTTTAATTTTGTTGTATTTACTGAAGGATTAATTAAATATTATAATATTAAATAGCAAAATAAGTGCTCGGTTTAATTAATATAAATGTTTTTTTAAAAAGTCACCTGGTATGCAGGTGTAGTCGTGGCTGTTTTGCCATACAACAGACCCTTTTAAAATGTACAGTTCATGTCTTTGTAGTGTAGTCATAAGGTTACTTGTCATACTTTAAATAGACAGTACATTGTGTAACGCTGTCATGCGCAACATAAAGCTTAGCTGAAGCTAAAACTGAGGGAATGCCATGGACATAGACACATTAACGGACATAGAACATTCATCAAGTAAAACAAGCACACCCACTCGATATTTCTTCCGCTTTGAGACACGTGATGGTCAGTTGCTCATCTGATTGGTTGCATGATGAGTAAATCTAATCGCTTTACTCACATAGCCTACCAAAAATTCAAAATCAGCATACACGTAATATACGGATACAAATGTAAGTAATTAAACTGTGTGCAGTTTGTAATAAAACATTATTTCGTCTGTTCCATTTTATAAACTGTTTCTTTCACTGAACCCAGATCATTACCAAGTACAGGTGCATCTCAATAAATTAGAATGTTGTGGAAAAGTTCGTTTATTTCAATAATTCAACTCAACTTTCTGTTTGCTGCTCTGCACTGCAGCGCCTTAACTGGCGCTGTAAAGGAACGTCAATCTCAGACAGACACTCTTGGGTAATTGGGCGGCAGTGGAGAGTGGGAGGGCCTAACCGACGAGCAGTGGTGTGGTGTCGCAGTTGACAAATCAGTGAAACGCACGGCCACGGAAGGCTTTTGAAACACGAGTGGGTCAAATTTTCGGTTTCAAAACCTGCAATATAGACCTGGCACTAACAAACCAAGCGGAGTCTTATTCATCGTGGTGGTTTGTGATGTATGAATGGATAGTTGACGGATTATCGTCGCTCTTCGTGCCTTTTTCTGGTGAGAAATTCGCAGCCTGGCCTAGTGAGCACTGTAACGGTGTAGCTCGAGCTGCGGGCACAGACACGCAGCGGCTGGAGAACAGCAGGCCCGCCAAACGCAACTATCAAAGGTGTGGTATTAGTCTGTTTGTATTCCTCGGTTCTGAATAAACCTAATTACTATTGGTTTCTGTTTTAATTAAGACACAGTGCCTTGTTTTGTCTGGTGTCAGTTTGTTTCTTGTTCATTTACATAAACAATAGGCAGTGTAGTACATTACATTTGTCTTCAGGGGCAGGAATCAGTCCAATGTAAACAATTCGTCAATAGACAGTCTACTTACAGCAATCAGTCACCATCTTTGTCATTAAATTAATAGGATACTGTCGAACATGAATTTAATTTATGAAATGTTTGTTGTGATTTAGAATTATTACAGATCTGATGTCGTTAAATGGAGAGTATAGATAACGTCCTTTTCTGTTAACGTTAGTGCCTGCACAATATTGCAAAGCTGTATAAATATGTATGTTCTTTAAGAAAGACGTGATGTTTTCTGTTTACCTCAGAGTCTATTGGTTTAGCGATTTTCATTTTATTGCTTTTATTTGAAAGATTTTTTTTTTGTATTAAAGGTATAGTTTAGTTAAAAATAAAAAAAATTGCTGAAAATGTACTCCCCTTCAGACCATCCAATATGTAGATGAGTTTGTTTCTTCATTGGAAGAAATTTAGGGTTACATCACTTGTTCATCTTGTGTTCATCTTAATGTCTTGTGAAGTGAAAAGCTGTGTTTGTAAGAAACAAATTCATCATTAAAGGCAGAGTAAGTGATTTCTGGTAGCCAATGTTGATATTTGAAATCACCAAAACAAACACGCCCCTACCCCAAAAGGGTCTTGCCCCTATTTTGATAGCTCCGCCCCACATATACATACGCAACCCAGGCAACGATTAGTTCTGTGAAACAAAGCAAAACCAATGTTACACCGTGTCTACGAACGTGAGTGGCGCGGCGCAACAAATCCCGACAGAAAACTGCTGCCGGGTTCTATTTATGACGTGCTGACACAAATTTCAAATGGTTTTCAACGGTCGTTTGATCGCGTCCAGTGTAGGCAGACTTTAGCTGTAAAGTGTTTTTGAAAAATCACTTACTCTGCCTTTAAGACGTTTTAACTTTAAACTGTTGCTTCTGGCCAGAAAATGAGTCAATAATAATGCTTCCTCCAGTGGAAAAAAAATCCATCCCCTGTTGTCCTCTCACTGACATGCTTGATCTGTGCATATTTCTCTCCTGATTCAGGCGAGATGACGTTTTCACTGGAGAAAGCAGTATTATGGATAGAGGGCTTGTTTTACCTAGAAGCAATAGTTTGAAGTTAAGTGTTTTGATGGATTTGTTTCTTACGAACACGCAGCTTTTCACTTAACAAGAAATTAATTGATGGACTGGAGTGGTGTGGATTACTTGTGGATTATTGTGATATTTTTATGAACTGTTTTTACACTCATTCTGACGGCACCCATTCACTGCAAAGGATCCATTGGTGAGCAAGTGATGTAATGCTAAATTTCTCCAAATTTGTTTAGATGAACAAACTACATCTTGGATTACTACACCCTGAGGGTGAGTAAGAACATTTTCTTCATTTTTGAGTGAACTAGTCCTTTGATGCATCTGTTGCACTGACCTGAAGCGTTTCATTTTCTCTTGGGTTGCAGTGTGTACTCCGCTGATTGTGTGACAGAATATCCAGAGGTCAAAAGAGCAAGACATGGTAAATATTTAGATGAGCTCTTCCACGTAAATAACAGTGCCGTATTAACATTCTCAGTCACCTACCATCAAGGCTTTTATTCATATATCTGTCATCTTTCTACAGATGTGATCATTAGGGTTGTCAAGAAGACTTTTGCAGGGATTGCAGGGCTGTTCCGATCAAGACACCACAGAAAGGCAGAACATGAAAAGCAGAAAACCTTTACGGAGGTATGTTCATATAATCACCACTAAGTGATTGCAAATACATGCATTGCTTGTGCAGCCTTGGTTTCATGCATTGTGTACATTGTCTTGTTTCTTGTTTTGCACACTGGTGGCTCAGGTTGGCTGGGTTGCTTTTATGGGTATTGATGACATACACAGCAACAGCCTGAGTTCATGGATTGAGAGTGACGGAATGGGTGAGTGTGATTTAACTGTCCCCACATGTCTCTGTGATCTGGCAAAGAATTTAACAGACATGCGTTACCGCTCAAAACGTTGGGGTCGGTACAAATTTTTTTGTTCTTTGGAACTTTATATTCATCGAAGGATCCTGAAAAAAAACTATATCTCAGTTAGGGCTGGGCGATATAGCAAAAAAATTTATCAACGATATAATGTTTCATATCGTTCGGTATCGATAATTATTGACATTTTTATAACCTTTTTTAAAACAAAAAGCAATAGAATTTTTTTTTTTTTAAATGTAACCACTGTATTTATAATTAACACAATTTATTGAGACAAACAACAGATATTTTTTGTTTTAACAATCAAACACAATAAAAAATAAACATATCTAATTTCTAATATTTTATATGCAGATTAAATAGGTCTTTATTGTATAGGTCTAATTGTCTCCCGAGGCCACAGGAGGGCGCAATGAGCAAAATAATGCAGCGCATTTAGCAAGTAACTCTATAAAAATGTGCATTAAATTAAACTAAATTAACTCATAAAAATCAAATATAATTTCGTAAATTGCATAAACAATTATGAACAAAACAGCATCATGTATTTATGCATTGCTTAATCCAAAGAGCCGAAGCGCCATTCACACAGACTGCATT